GCCCCGCACGGGGCGAAGTCCGAGCCAGTCCCCAAAGCCCAGGAGGGGACCGAGGCGGGCGCGCTCCTGCTCTGCGAACCCGCGGGGCCCGTGTATACTGCTGGACTGCGGGGTGGCCTGACGCCCGAGGAAACCGCGCGCTTGCAGGCCTTGGGTGCCGAGGTGCGCGCCACAGGCCGTGGAGGCCTGGCCACCTTTCACGGTCCGGGCCAGCTGCTCTGCCACCCGGTGCTCGACCTACGACGTCTCGGCCTGCGCCTGCGCACCCACGTGGCGGCGCTGGAGGCGTGCGCCGTGCGCCTGTGCCAGCTCCAGGGCCTGCAGGGAGCCCGCGCGCGGCCCCCGCCCTACACCGGCGTCTGGCTGGGCGGGCGCAAGATCTGCGCCGTAGGTGAGCGCGGCGGGGCGGGGTCTGAGACCGGGGCGGGGCCGGCGAGGCTGGGCCAATGGCGGTGAAGGTGAAGCTCGGCCCCGAGACTTTGTCCCAGAACTGCCCGCCGCGTTCATGCGTTTTCAGCTTCTTCACAGATAGCATTTTCAGAAGCTGAAGGGTCCTCAGAGATCATCTAGCCTAACAGTCATTTTTACTGATGGAGAGACACAGAAGTGCATTGCGCACATACTTATGAATGACTGTGTCAGACAATCCAGGCACTAGCTTGTTTTCCATTTTTATTTTTTTTTAAGTTACTGGAGGGTGTGTTTGGTGTCCAGTTATAGACATACAGAGAGGGAAAGTGAGGGAAAGCAACGCCCCTCACGGGAGATGGTCATGTTGCAATCCTCTTTCGAGATTTTTGGGCACACAAGCACATTTGCACGGCGTGCTTTTCAAGCCCCCACCACCCACAGTGCGCACTTGGCCATGTGGGATCCAGCCGTCTTGACCACCATTCCCCTGCTTGCCCTTTTTCTTTCTTCTTCTTTTTTTTTTTTTATTATCAACAGAGTCTCTGTTAAATCCTGTAATCCTCGTTAAATGCAATTAATGGGGAGTCACACAACCCTCTCCCATTCGTCCCTTTTGCCCAGTCTGTGTGTAGTAGGTTGATGCTCTAGAAACAGTGTAAACAGCAGGGATCTAGTCCGTCCATTGGTCACACAGAGGAGGGGTCCGAAGGAGGGTGTCTGTCCTAAGACCCTTTGTCTTGCTTTGCAGGGGTCCGCTGTGGAAGGCACATCACGTCCCATGGCCTGGCGCTGAACTGTTCCACAGACCTCACGTGGTTTGAGCACATTGTGCCCTGTGGTTTGGTTGGGACAGGGGTCACTTCCCTGAGTGAGGAGCTGCAGAGGCATGTCACTGTGGATGAAGTATTGCCACCCTTCCTCGTGGCCTTTAAGGAGACCTACAGATGCACCTTGATCTCAGAAGACAGCCACAG